TGCAGAGGACAGAGGGCTGGGGGCAGCCTCTGGCTCAGGTGGCCCTAAACTCCTTCTTTCCTGCCAGTGGGGGCCATGGGGAGAGCAGAGCCTGCAGGGGCTGGAGTTTTGTTGTCTCAGGAGAAATTGAGCCAGGCAGAAGTGTGCAGGTGGCTCTTTGTGGTGCAGGGAAAGCCTGCCTGGGAGAGCTGGGCCAGATCTGCTGATTTACCTCCCACAAAATGGAGCGAGAGCCGCACCGCAAGGACTCGCTGCTCTAATTTACAGAATGCATCTGCCACCACTTCTTCATTTGCTGGCAGCCCAAATGCCTGAGAGCACCAGCAGCATGACAAATGTCACTGCTCCCTGGGAAGGTGACCATGGCTCCAGAGCTGCTGTCCAAAGGTTCATTAAATATATTAAAACCAGCTGGATCCCGAGCGTTCCCCTCACTCCAAACAAAGCAGAGGGCAAGGCTTCAGTGAGAGTGAATCCTCAGGGTGGCACTGGGGGTGCTGGGCATGGGAGAAGCACTGCCACTGCCTGCCCCTTCCTTGAACCCCTGCATCCCAAAGGAGCCTGCCTTTGCCAATGGCCTGGGGCACAGGAACATCCCAGCCCCACTGCGGGGTCAGCAAAGCATCAGGTGGGAAAACCCCGGGACTCTGAAAGCCCCAGGGTGTGGGATGGTGGCTTTGTCCCCCATCCCAGGATATCAGCCCGGGGAGGCTGGAAACCAGGGCCAAGGCTTGCTGTGAAATGAGTGGAGAGGTCTCAGCCCGGGGTGGCACAGAGGGATTTTTCTGCCAGCCAGGAACAGATTTGGGTGGAGCTGGGGAAGAGCCAGACCCTGCTGCCAAAGGGGGGAGACGAGAGGAGAGGAGAGGAGAGGAGAGGAGAGGGGAGAGGAGAGGGTGGTGTCGGGGTGGCCATGGGGCACAGCTCCCTGGCCAGTCAGATCCGTGCCCTGTGTCCCACAGGGAATTGCTGTCCCCCCTGTCCCCCAGCCCCTCTGCAGCTCCTCCTGTGCCAGCTCCACCACGGCAGAGCCGGGAGCTCCAGCGAGCAAACACTTCACAGCAAAGTGCAACACAACGCTAAATCACAGCTAAAAATATTCCTCGGGAGCTTGATTAGTAAATGCCGCCGTTGGTGGTTTGGTTTGGGGGATTTTTCCCCCTCCTTCTGCTGTAAAATGTTTCAGCTCCAGGAGCAGCACTTGACTGGGCTGTCTCTAAGCCCCTCCAGTGCCGAGGGCTGGGCTCTGCAGCCCCGGCCCTGCTTAGGAGGATGCCATAAAAGCAGCTGCCTCCTTACCCCGGGGTCAGTACAGAAACCTCGTCCTGCTGTGAGTCTGGTTTAAAACAAACAGCTCCTGGAGGAGTTTTAGCTAAATGATGTTTCTTTTAGGGTAGGTGAGAGCAAATGCTGTAAATCACAGGAGGGTTTGGGTTGGAAGGGACCTTCAAGATGATCTCATCCCACCCCCTGCCGTGACAGGAACACCTTCCACTGTCCCAGGCTGCTCCTAGTCCCAGTGTCCAGCCTGGCCTTGGGCACTGCCAGGGATCCAGGGGCAGCCACAGCTGCTCTGGGCACCCTGTGCCAGGGCCTGCCCACCCTCACAGCCAAGAATTTCTTCCTAAATTTTAATTTAAGTCTCTCCTCTTTTGATTCAAAACCATTCCCCACTGGCCTATCACTATTTCCCCCTGAAAAAAGCCTTTCCCTCCTTTTGATAAGCTCCCTTTAGCTACTGGAAGGGGCTCTGAGGCCTCTCCAGTGCCTTCTCTTCTCCAGGCTGAACAACCCCATCTGCCAAGTGGATTTTCAGGCAGCAGCTTTCCTTGGGGTTGAGTTAACATGGAGTTTGGGTTCTGTTGTTTGATTTCTCAGAAATGGGGAGCCCTCAGTGTCCCCTGGCTCTGGCCATGGAGCTGAGGGCCACTTCTCCAGGTCCTCCCCATCCACCCTTGGCTCTGTCTCTGCTGTGGAAACAGATCAGAGTATCCGTATCCACACAAAATCCATGCAAAAAAAGAGGCATCCATCCCAACACCCTGATGCTGAAGGGAGAAAGGAGGGGGAAAGCTGTGGGTGAAGCTATGCACGAGCCTCGTCCATCACCCCTGGGCTGCTCCTGTGCGAGCAACGCCCGGGAGCAGCGGCGCTGCCTTGATCTGCAGAGGGGCTGTGGGAACACAGCGCACATCTCAGCCCTGCTCTGGCTGCAAGAGATCCCTGCTGGCCCAGGAATCATGTGTTGTTTTTAATGACTCCATCACCAAAGGAAAATCTTCAATGACAGCTTTTTTTCCCTTTTGTGCCCAGCTCATTACCAGAAGGATCTCCCTCGCTCGCTGCTGGGCTGTGCGGGCAGGACGCTGCTGAACAAACCAGCCTTTTTCTCCCCAGCATAGAAGGCGCTTTGATAAACCGGGGAAACCCTCGGCCAGCAGCAGCGAGGGGCTTTCTGCAGAGCTGTGCTGCCTTTGGGAACAGCCGCAGGCAGGGCTGGCATCTCCAGGCGCCGAGCAGAGCGCTCCCAGCCAGCCCCAGGCTGCTCCCTGCGGGGCTGGGCTCTGCCTGTGCTCCCCAGAGCGTCCATCTGGCTTCTCCCACCAGTGCTGGACGTGCACCCTACAGAACTGGGTGTGGGGAAGAGGGGGCAGATGCCAGCCTGGAGCTGGCTGCAGCCTCGCTGCTCAGAGAGGGAGAAATGCCGCGGCTCTTCCCGCAGGGCGCAGCTCAGAGGGTGTCTTTTTGGATGAGCAGCTCTGCAAAAAAAAAAAAGGAGGAGGAAAAAAAAAAGAAAAAGCGATCTTGCTTTTCTTTTTTTATTTCTTAACACTTCTGGCTCGAGGGCTGTTGTTCGTAACTTGTCAAGATCTTGGCATCGGCGGCTGATTTGTCATCCGCCATAAAATGGAGGATGAGCATCTTTGGTTCAGAACTGGGCCAAGGGAGATGACAGCTCAAAGCAAAATATGCTTCATCTCCAGTTTTCTCCGTGGGCTTCAGCTCCCGGGAAAGGGAGCGGACATTTGGGGTCTGAGTGCATCACAGCGTTCCGGGGAAGAGCCCTTCTCCCTTCTCCTGCTCTGCGTTTGCGACAGCACAGCCGGTGCACATTAACCCTCTGCCTGCCAGAGCAGGCTGTGCCGGGCTGATCTGCCATCGCCCTGCCCTCCTCACCGAGCCCTGCGACCTGTCACCCTGGGGGCCACCAACACACCCAAACACCACCAAACACCATTTTTTAAAAAATAAAACGATACCAGCAATCCTTTAAAACCCAGGCATTGCGCTGCAGCGTGAGGGGTGTGCCTTGGCACGCCGAAGTTTGGAAGATGAATTATTAATCCTGCCATTCCCGAGCTCATCCCAGCGCTGAGCCACCCTCTCCTCAGCCACCGGCTCCGCCGTGCCGGCCACACAGAGCAGCCACAAACTCCGTGGAAAAGCATCTCAGTCCGCAGGTAATCCATGGCGCTGCCACCACCACGAGGCAGCAAGAACTCCAGCTTGAAGCGATAGAATGAAAGCTCCCTGCAAGTAGCTGAATCACCGAGTGTGGAGGCCCAGGCCCGCAGCTTTGAGGGGCTCTGAGCCCCCCTGTAGCTGTGCCCACGGGGGTGCCCCGGGCTGGGGGGGTCCCCGGGGGGCTCTGAACCCAGCGGGGCTCCGAATCCCTGGGAGGACACCAGGATGGGAAGCAGTGGGGAGGCACGCATGACAGGTGACACCGGGTTGTGCCCTGCTCAGCGCTGTCCCCTCTGTGTCCCCAGCCTCACACCGGCCTGCAGAGCCCCCCGGACCCCCCCAGTTCCCCAGCCGGGGGTGATGAGCCCTGCCCTGCGCTGGCTGTGGGAGCACAGGCAGCCGTGGGCCCAGCTTTTCCCCCACAGTGATGTAAAGACGAAGGATCCTCCCTCCCCAGGATGGCAGGTGAAGCCCCCCGCCCCCGTGCGAGGTGCAGAGCAGCCGGGTCCCCCTCCCTCTCCGTGCAGGAATGCGAAGTGACAGCACACAGCCCCCTCCCCAGAGCAAGGGTGCAGAGAGCCCCGGAGCACCGCGGAGCAAATGTGCCAAGCGCTGCCGGGATCCACCCCCCGACAAGACAACGTGCGGAGCAGCCTGGCCCCCTCCCCTCCCTTCGGCAAAGGGGCAGAGCGTGGAGAAGCCCCCACCCCGGCCGTGAATAGCTGCAAAGTGCAGGGACCCCCCACGCAAGGATGAGAGGCGGCTTGGACAGCCCCTTCCCAAAGCAAGGATGCGAGGGGATGGAGGACAGCCCCCCGCCCCCGGGCACGGTGCAAAGCTGGGGGGGATGCAGCAAAACGGGGATGCAGGGCGGCCCTTCCCCCGCAGGGATGCGAAGGGACGGAAGAACCCCCCTGAAAGGATGTGAAGGCATGGAGGATCCTACCGGAGGGACGTGAAGGGATGGAGGATCCCACCGGAGGGATGGAGGATCCCACCGGAGGGATGTCAAGGGATGTAGGATCCCCCCGAAGGGATGTGAAGGGATGGAGGATCCCATCGAAGGGATGGAGGATCCCACCGAAGGGATGGAGGATCCTACCGGAGGGATGCGAAGGGATGGAGGATCCCATCGAAGGCATGGAGGATCACACGGAAGGGATGTGAAGGGATGGAGGATCCCCCCGAAGGGATGGAGGATCTCCCCGAAGGGATGTGAAGGGATGGAGGATCCCACCGGAGGGATGTGAAGGGATGGAGAACGCCTCCCCCGCAAGAACCCCCCCGCCTCACCGGAAAGATGCAAAGCAGCAGAGGATCACCCACCCCCCACGCCAGCATGCCGAGCGGTGGGAGATCCCCTCCACGCAGCGACGCTCTCCCAAAAGGATGAAAAGATGCGGGAGAGCCCCGTCAAAAGGCCACAAAGCCCGCAGTGCCCCGCGGAGGGCTGTCCGCGCTGCGCGCACACACCTGCGGGCACACGGACCCCCCGCTCTCCCTGCGCCGCCTCATTCCCGCATCCCTGCGCTCACCTCCTCGGGGCTGGGGGCCGGGCCGTGTCCCGGCGGGGCCGTGTCCCGGCGGGGCCGTGCGGGGCCGTGCGGTCCCCCCCCCCCGCCCCCCCCCGCCGCTCCAGCCGGCAGCCGCGGGCTTGCGGCACCCCGCTGGAGTGCTTCCGCTGGCGCGGCCCCGGGGAAGCGATGCTCCGGGAGAGGGAGCGGGCTGGGCAGCGGCTGCTCCAGGTGTGGCGTGGCCACCATCTTCCCCCTGTGCCCTGTGGAGGCCCTGGGTGCCTCACCAGATCCAGGCCAAGGTGGTGGGGAATTGATGAGGCCCCCAGGAAAGTGTTTTCACTGTCACCAGCTGCTGATGCCCAGGATTTTGGGATCCTCTCCTTGGTCTTGTCACAGACACCCTCAGGGCTGGAGCCCTCTGCTCCAGGGCCAGGCTGGGAGAGCTGGGGGTGCTCACCTGGAGAAGGGAAGGATCCAGGGAGACCCAAGAGTCCCTTCAGTGCCTAAAGGCCTCCAAGAAAGATGGTGACAAAGTTTTTAGCAGGACCTGTGTTATAGGACAGTAAGCGATGGTTTTAAAATACAAGAGCGTTGATTTAAACCAGATATGAGGAAGAAGTTTTTTTACAATAAGGGTGGTGAGGCCCTGGCACAGGGTGCCCAGAGAAGCTGTGGCCGCCCCTGGATCCCTGGAAGTGTCCAAGGCCAGGCTGGACAGGGCTTGGAGCAACCTGGACAGTGGAATGTGTCCCCGCCTGTGGCAGGGGGTTGGACTAGAAGACTTTTAAAGATGCTCTCCAGCCTAAACCATGCCATGATTCTGTGCCCCAGTGCCTGCACTGCACCATGTTGAGCACAAACATTGGCAAGAGCCTCATCTGTTTGGGGTTCTAACAAAATCCCAGCCTGGAGTCCTGGAATCCCAGAATGGTTTGGGTTGGAAGTGACCTTAAACACCAACCAATTCCATCACAGCAGGGACAGCTTCCACTGACCCCACCTCAGGGCTCTGCCCTTCTCGGGCCACTGCAGCCACACCAAACCCACCCCAGGCTATGCCCACACTCCAGCCTGTGACTGGCAGGGATTCTGCTGGCTGGCAGAGGAGAGAGGTGAACTACTCCTTCAGGGGCTGAGACGGCAGGAAAAGCACACAGCTCTGCCCATGGCAGCTGCGTGTCCGTGCCAAGGATGCCAGCAGAGCCAGGGCAGGCTCCAGTGACCCCACAGCCCTTCCTCTAATCCCTGACCGTGCCCCTGCCCAGCCAGGACAGCCAAGGGGAGCTCTGGGCTGGAGGCTGGGGCTGCAGCAGAGCAATGCACCCACAGAAATAGAACCTCAGACCCTGGGGGCAGTTCTGGGCACCTCAAGAGAGATGTTGAGGGGCTGGAGCGTGTCCAGAGAAGGGAATGGAGCTGGGGAAGGGGCTGGAGCACCAGGAGAGGCTGAGGGAGCTGGGAAGGGGCTCAGCCTGGAGCAAAGGAGGCTCAGGGGGGCCCTTGTGGCTCTGCACAGCTCCTGACAGGAGGGGACAGCCGGGGGGTCGGGCTGTGCTCCAGGGAACAGGGACAGGAACAGAGGGAACAGCCTCAGGCTGGGCCAGGGGAGGCTCAGGTTGGATGTTAAGGACATTTTCTTCACGGAAAAGGCTGCCCAGCCCTGGCACAGCTGCCCGGGGCAGCGATGGAGTCACCATCCCCAGGGGCATTTAAAGGATGTGTAGGTGTGGCACTCGGGCACACGGGTTAATGTTGGGTTTGGCATTGCTGTGGCGATGGTCGGACTCGATGAAGGCTTTTCCACCCTAAACAATTCCACGATGCCGTGATTGTACTGTGACTGCTGTGAGTGCAGCCGCTACTAGAGGGCAGAGCGAGCCAGGACAGACAGACAGACAGGTGGTTCGAGCTGTGCGGGAGCTGCCGTGCGGGAAACGCGCTTGCTTCCCCTTGCACTGCGGCGTGTGGGGGGAAAAACAGAACTTCAGCAGCACGAGGGATAATCTGCGACACGGTTTGAGGTTTGGAGGGAGATGACTCACGCTTTGATTTCTTTACGGAGCGCTCCAGGGCGGGATTAAGCCGCGCTTGTCAGGAAGGCGCCGCATCCAGCAGCGAGGAGCAGCGGGGAGAGCTCCTCCAGCCCGGCACACCAAACTGCTGTTCCCCGGTGCTCGTCAGGAAGAGAAAACCTCGTGGATGAGGGGCGAGGGCACCCCGAAAGGGACAGCTGCCATCTGCGGAGCACTCACTAGGCTGGACCTAGGGGCTGGCACCAGGCTGCGTACCAGCCCGGAGCCCGTCTCTTGTGCAGGCAGCGGTGCAAGGGCAGCCCTGCCGTGCCCGGAGGAGCTCAGATAGCCCTGCCGTGCCCAAAGGAGCTCGGGCAGCTCTGCCGTGCCCAAAGGAGCTCGGATAGCTCTGCCGTGCCCAAAGGAGCTCGGGCAGCCCTGCCGTGCCCGGAGGAGCTCGGGCAGCTCTGCAGCCCACGCCAGCCCCGGCTGCTGCGTCCTCATCCCCATCCCTCCCGCGGGTGTCCCCAGAGACCCGCCTCGAGCAGCGGACACTCAGCCTGGACACTTCAGATTCATCCTGGACTGCCTTGGCCAAGCCGTCCTGTCCCTGTGCTGGTGCCACCAGAGGTGTTCTCGTCTCAAGAATGAAGTAAAAGTTTTCCATGACCCAAACAGAGCCAGAAGTGCAGGCGGTCAGGGTGAGGAGGCTGATGCTGCTGCCAGGACAGCACAGCCTGCGACATCCAGGCAGGGATCTGGGGACTTACGTTGGGACAGGAGGGGTGAGCAGCCCCTGTGCCGTGGCACAGGAGGGGTGAGCAGCCCCTGTGCCATGGCACGGAGGGGTGAGCAGCCCCTCTGCCGTGGCACAGGAGGGGTGAGCAGCCCCTCTGCCGTGGCACGGGAGGGGTGAGCAGCCCCTCTGCCGGGGCATGGGAGGGGTGAGCAGCCCCTCTGCCGTGGCACGGGAGGGGTGAGCAGCCCCTCTGCCGTGGCACAGGAGGGGTGAGCAGCCCCTCTGCTGTGCCCAGGACAGAGCTGTCCCCTCCTGCCTGCAGCCCTCGGTGACCCCAGCCCTGGTTCGGAGCAGCTCTGGAGCTCTCAGTGCTGCCAGGAGCAGCTCAGCAGGTCACAGACCCTCAAAGTGCCAGGAGCAAAGCCAAAGGGTGGCACAACTGCCCAGGCCTAGAGCCAGAAGTGCAGGCGGTCAGGGTGAGGAGGCTGATGCTGCTGCCAGGACAGCACAGCCTGCGACATCCAGGCAGGGATCTGGGGACTTACGTTGGGACAGGAGGGGTGAGCAGCCCCTGTGCCATGGCACGGAGGGGTGAGCAGCCCCTCTGCCGTGGCACAGGAGGGGTGAGCAGCCCCTCTGCCGTGGCACAGGAGGGGTGAGCAGCCCCTCTGCCGTGGCACAGGAGGGGTGAGCAGCCCCTCTGCCATGGCACGGAGGGGTGAGCAGCCCCTCTGCCATGGCACGGGAGGGTGAGCAGCCCCTCTGCTGTGCCCAGGACAGAGCTGTCCCCTCCTGCCTGCAGCCCTCGGTGACCCCAGCCCTGGTTCGGAGCAGCTCTGGAGCTCTCAGTGCTGCCAGGAGCAGCTCAGCAGGTCACAGACCCTCAAAGTGCCAGGAGCAAAGCCAAAGGGTGGCACAACTGCCCAGGCCTCAGCCCCTGGAGCCCCCAGACCAGCTGCTGTATCCCTGGGTGCTCTCAGGCACACACACACCTGAGCGTGGGGGGCACAGGCAGCGTGCCCAGGGTGCCCCACACAGCCTGGGAGGGTGAGGGCAGGGAGAGGGGAGGGTGCAGACAGCAGCACCCACAGATCTGAGCATCTTCATCACCCCCAGCCCAGGGCCAGCCTCAGCCCGGGCTCTTCCCAGCTCTGTGCACAGCACATGTGGGGTTTTACCTGAGTTTTCTCTGGGTGTCAGACCAGCAGTGTCCTCTGCTTGAGCTCAGGGGCACAAACCAGCTGCACCAAGGCTTCTCTGCTCCCCTGGAGGTGTCTGGGCTGGTTTTGTCCCTTTGTGTGGGACAGGAGCCTGCAGAACTCCTGGCCATGCAGCTCCCAGAGCTGTTCCAGGCTTGCCATGAGCCACCTTTGTGCCATGCTGGAGCTGGGCAGTGCCCCCACCCTCCAAAGTGAGAAGCTGATGGGGAATTCACCCTTTCCCAAGGGAATTCATTCCATCACTGGATAAACCATGCAAATATCAGTTAATAACAGTAAATTAATGAACCATAGGAAAAGCTTATCCTGGGGGCACATCCACAAGCTCTTTGCCAGTGATTCCCTGAACTCCTTGGAGGTGTGAGCAGCTTGGTGTCAGCGGTGGCTCCCACGTCAGTGACACTGCGGACAAACAGGCCCAGGGGAGCGCCCAGCCCCAAACCCCAGCACCCCTCCACCTCCATCCACCCCAACCAGCCCAGCAAGCCAAAGGCTGTGCAGCTGGAGTGGGGTGCCAGGAGGCTGCCAGAGCTCTTGTTTTGGGGTCGTGGACCCCCAGCTGGCCCGGGAGGAGGTGTCGGTGCCGTGGCACCGCCGCACGCGCTCACCTCCCGCATGGGCTGCTGCGAGGGCTGAGGTAATCCTGGGTAATTCCTGACTTCCATGGAAATGCCTCCGGGCCGAGATGATTATCGCTGTAATTAGCCTCTCTGATTTTTCTTGGTGTTCTATAAAATATTAATTTACAGCTGGATCCTTGCCTCCTTTGTGTGCCGGCTCGAGCTCTTGCCATCAGCAGAGCATCTCTGGCACCTCGTGCTGAGGTCCCGTGGGGTTACGTGGCACAGCTGGGGCGGCTGCCTCGTGGTTGGGGTTGGTGGGGCTGGGCAGGAACTTCCACTTCCCCACAGGAACGTGCCCTTGGAGCTCCTATTTCAAAGGAAATATGGAAAACCGGTGAGGCACGCTCAGAAAATGCCCTCCACACCTCTGCAGCTGGATGGTTGAAGGTGAGCAGGCAGCTGTGTGGCTCCAGAAGCCCTTTAATGCAACATAGATCCACCCTGTTCCTCTGTTTGGGCCAAAAACAGTGGTTTTGCTCAGCTGCATGAAAAATCAGGTAGGGCAGCAGAGTCTGAGCAGCACCAGGTTCCCCACCCAGCCTGGAGGCACTGGAGTGGACACGGTGCTGTGATTTCCACTGCCAAAATGAAGCCAAATGTGGGGTTTGGTGGCACGTGGTTCCCTGAAAACCCACTGCTCACACCAGCACTTCCAAGTTGCCTCATTTTTCAGCCAAGCTAGGTAGAATCAGCTTCAATCTTGCCAAAAAGGTGGAAAATGCCACCTGTGATATTTTTGATTCCAAACATTGGGAAGGTCAGGCAGAGGAAGGACATTGCAGTGTGCTGGTCCTCTCTCTGCCTTCTCCCTGGGACAAGCCTTAGGCTCCAGACTCTGCATTCCAGTGTCCCTGCCAGGGAGGGAGTTCTGCCATGTCCCTAAGGCTGTCCCCGAGCTCCTTTTTTTCTCTGGGACAGTGTCTCTGCCAGGCCAGATGCAGCAGCTGTCTCAACTACAGCTCCAATCTAAAGAAAGGAGCATTGCTAATGACAGCAAGGAGCTGTGCCCAGCATGTGAATGTCTCTGCCGAGAGCTGCTCTCCACTAGAGATGTTTTTTCCAGAGCTTTTGGCCCTGCAGCAGATGCTGTCAGTGAGGTTTTGTCCTCAGGACAGCCCTACATGTCCCTGATGCTTTGAGAGGCTGCCTAGAACAGAGGCTGCACAGAGTTAAAGGAGTAAAGTAGGGATTTATTAAAAGGCCTTCACAGGTACAAGAGTCTGGCCAAGGCTACACCCAAGATGGTCCCCAAGTCACGAGTTTTCACACTTTTATAAGTTTTGGTCCATTTCCATGTTGGGGTTAATTGTCCAATTCCAGCTCCAGGTTGTGCAGTCCCATCCTCCCAGTTTGCTCTCCTCAATTCCCTGCTGTTTGCACTTTTTGGGGCTGAAGCTGCAATGGTGTCCTTGGTTCTGGGGCTGGAAAAGGATTGTTTAGTGTGACTGAGCTGTGAGGAGAGCTTGCTGACACTTCATATGAAGTTCAAAGTTATACACCAATGCAGTACAGAATCTGGAAAACATGAAAGCTGAAACTTGAGGTATCATCTCCCTGTCACTAAAACCAAGCCAGGTTGCAAAGCCACTGGGGATTTGTGTTCTCCGAGGCCACGTCCCCCCACAGCACTTCCCGAGCTGTTTGCACAGATATTTCCATTCCTCCTCCCCTTCTGCACCACCAGGCACACAGTGAGCAGGAGCCAATCCCTCTGGCAGAGCTCTGGCACCGTGGTTTGGAGCCAAGCACACGCTGCTGGCTTGGGGCTCATCAGCTGTGACATGAGGTGCTCCCTGCCAGCTCTCCAGGGATGCCAGATGTGGATCTGGAGAGCGTGGAGGTGCTGCTGCCATCCACTGCATCCCTCACCAAGCTGGCAGGCTCAGGGCTTTGAGGAAACCGTGTGGCAGACACAGAAGGGTGCTTTAGCATGGAGTTCAACCAGGGAAGAGCAGCTTTGTCTGGTTTTCCTCAGCGTTTCTTTCATCTTGTGGTTATGAAGCTGCAGAGCCTCTGGTGGGAGGCTCCGTGTTCTTACAGCAGGCAGAGCTGTTCCTGCTTGGATTTCCCAGAGTTTTCCAGGCTGCATCTCCCTCCTCGATGAAACCTCCACCATCTCACCCAGCCCAGAATTTTAACCCCATTTTTTCAGCCCCTTCTGTGATTTTACTCCTCAGCGTCACTGGTCCAGCCCAGCCCAGTGTTGCCTGGGCCAAAAAATGCTCTGTCCAGGCACCATGGAGCCAACAGCCAGGGGAGATGCTGCTCCCTGGGTTTTGTGTCTGGCTCGAGGTCCAAGGAGTATTAACCTCCTGTTTCCCCGTGTGTGAGAGCCTTCTGCAGCTCCATAACATGGTGGTTTCTATGGCAAAGGGCTCTCCCACCTCTCTCACTCGCTGCTGTTTTTAATCCAGCCTTGTTTTGCTGCTGTGGAGAATTAACATTTTAGGGGGCAGCTTCCCTGCGCACCACCCGGGGTACCCCAGGCCCCTTCTCTGTCAGCTTGCAGGGGCTTAACAAAATAAAACCAGCAGGCCGGGAACCTGAGCAGGCTTTCTGCTGATGTGGAAATTAAAATTTAGCTGCTCGTTGTGTCGGCAGAGGGCAGTGGAAGATGCTTCCAAACCTCCCAAGCCTCCCCCGGCCGCGCTGTGGAGATGGGGATCCGGGGAGGAGACTCCACCAGAGAGGAAGGGAAATAAAAATGCAGTTCCTCCAGCAGCGAGGCTGCCCTGAGCGTGGCGTTCCCGCCGGGCAGCCCACGGGCCGGGGCGATTTGGGCTCATCCATCGGCGCGGCGCCCAGGAGGGAAGGCGAGGCGAGGAGACCGCGCTCCCCATCGGCGCATCCCTGCAGCTCGGGTCTCGCCATCGCTCACAGAGGCGGCTCAGAGCCGGCAGAGCCGCTGCTCCTCATCCTCCGCCTGGGAGGAAGCGGATGGCGATGGAGCTGGCAGTGATTTGCCGGCGGGAGCAGGCGGGAAGGCCGAGGAGGGGTTTCTCTGCCCGTAGCCGTGTCCCAGAGGGGTTCTCAAGCCCGGCGAGCCGCGGCACGTAGACAAAAGTGTTCCCAAGCCGCGGCCCGTGGCCGGGCGCTGCTCTCCGGCTCCGGGAGAGGCAGGAGATAGTGCGGCCCTGCCGCCGCCTCCCTGCCGGCTCCGCACCCTGCCCTGTAATTAATATCCCTGGAGGTAAAGAAAGAGCAGCGGGAGGTTGGGATGTATTATTTTACTCTGATAGGAATCTGACACTGACACAGCCATTAGGGGAAAGAAAGAATAATAACTCAGACTTGGCATATATGAAAGTGTAAATACCTTCAGCGTGTGAAAAGACAGGCTTTAATATATTGGTGGGTTTGTAATTATTTATTGAAAGAAGGGGAAAGGCAGAGCTTGCTGCAAAACAAGGCGGAGGCGAGGGAGCAGCTCCCGGAATCATCGGGTTGGGGTGGCCGCCGCTATCCCGCCCGGAGAAGGCAGCGTGGGGTGACCCGCGGCCCGGGGACAGCCCCCGCTGCCGGCGTGCTGTCGGCGGCTTGCCCCCGCCAGAAGCCGGGTCGGTGTCACACAAAAGCTCTCCCAACTTTTCGGGGTAGGGCACGCCAAGAATCCCACCGGGATGCCCGGCGTGAAAGGAGAGGCATCCCCTCGCTGCCTGCCACCTGCTCGGGCGGCTGCGGGGGCTTCGCGGCGGGAGCGGCAGCATCCCCCGCCGGGCCACGGCGGTGCCCCGCGGCCACAGCTAGCTCCAAATGCTCAGCCGGGTCGCTCAGGACAGCTCCCGGTGCCGAGGCCGGGGCCGGGGCCGCGGCCGGGGCTGGGGCTGGGGCAGGAGCCGGGGCCGCGGCTGAGCGGGGACAGAGCGGGGTCGCCGCGCCCTTCGAGCCCCCCGAGGGCGGCTTCGGCTGGGTGGTGGTCTTCGCCGCCGCCTGGTGCAACGGCTCCATCTTCGGCATCCACAACTCCTTCGGGATCCTCTACATGATGCTGCAGAGCGACCTGGGCGAGGGGGAGAAGGATCCGGCGCTAGAGTTTAAAACAGGTATGGGCTCCGCGGCGCCTTCCCCGGGCCGGGCAGTGCGTGCGGGGGTGCCCGAGCGGAGCGGGGATGCCCCAGCGGAGCGGGGAGAGGTGCGGCGGCGCGGCCGGCGCTGCCTCCCGGAGCTGGAAGCTCCTTCTCGGCTGTGTGGAACCTCGATTGCTCCCTGCCCCCTCTATCCTCGTAGCCGTGGCTATATTTATCTCTGACAGCATCATGTGTTTCTAAGCTCCGATGTACTCAATTAAAAGTAATTCGGCTGAAAACACGCCCTTAGCTTGTCCTGCCGGTGTGTCTTGGGGTAAAGCAGAGCAGCGCTGGTGAATCAGCTGCTGGGTGTGAGCCACCCCCTCTAGTTTTCTTTATTATTGTTCTGTTTTATGGGTTTTCAAGCTTTCTGTCTGTCTGCCTTGCTGGCCGGGGGTGGCTCCGGGAGAGCATCTGCCCTGCTGCCGCGCTCCCTGCGAGCCGCGTCCATCCAGTGGGACGGCCGGCACAGGGCAGGGCTGGCAGCGCCACCTGCGCGGTCACGCCGAGGGCAGCGCGGGGTCTCCAGCGCTTCACATCCCTGAAAAGCAGGATCCATGGACTGCACCCAGCTGTGTGTTTCTGTAGGAGCGACAGGCCCGGCCAGGGTGCAGACTGGGTAGGGTTAATATGGAGAAAAGGGGTGTTCCTTGCTGCCAAGACCCTGCTGTTGAAGTAGACTTGGCAGAGGGACACCAGCCTGCTGGCGTGGTGGTCCCAGTGGGACACCGGTGTTGGGAGGCCCAGTCTTGTCCCAAATCCTGCTGTCCCCCCTGGAAGATCCCATCCATCCTCGTGATGGACACCCGTGGCCCGCCTTGCTCTCCTCTGCCAGGTGGAGACGAGTGCTTGGCGCTGAGGGGACCTGCCTGTGGAGCTGTCCTGACCCAGGGGGGGACGTGGGCAGCAGCCAGGAGCCAGGAGTGTGCTGGGGAGAGATGAGTGCCAGGGCTGTGTGAGGAGCTTGGAGCCTTGTTTTGGGGAGCAGCGCTGCCCACGCTGCCTGCCTCAGCTGGCGCACGGCCGGCGAGTGCGGCGGGGAGCGCGCCAGGATGAAATTCATTACGGGATCCACCACATGGAGAATCCCAAATTAACTCCGTGATACTCTTACCAGGGAAGCGATGGGACCGTGTAATTACGGGCACTAACGGAGTGCCACAGCGAGCTGCGGACGTGTGGCCAGCTGTAATTAGGGTGATTGATGGGCTGGGAGTGTGTGTGTGTTGTGTGTGAGCGCATGTGATGCCCAGGAAGCTCATAGTGTAGCTCTCTGTTTCCTGCTGCCTGTGATTGTATCTAGAAAGCCTAAGGCAGGGCTCTAAAGGTAGAAGCGGTAACAAAAGAAATTAAATACTGCAAGTTCTGGTGGTTTAAAGGCTCTGTGCCCAAGACAGAGGTTGTAGGAGTCAGCGTCTGCCTCTTGCTCCTGCCATCTATTTATTTAAGGCTATGACCGCACGGAGGCCTCGAAAAAGAAAGGCGTGTGGGTGTGCGAGGTGAACCCAGGCTGGGTAATTAAATTGCCTGGCTGACGAATATCTGCATTTTGGTCTGGGTGCTTAATGAAGAGGCCGTTAATGACTGAGCGGCGGCTCCGAGGTCGTGGTGCCGAGGCTCCGGCGGCGGCGGCGGATCCATCTGCGGCACCTCCGGGGCTGCAGCTGCACCGGCTGGGGCTGAGGGCAGCGGGGTGCAGCCCGGAGCCCCCCTCCAGCCCTTCCTCCCTCGCTCCCACCCCTCCCCGCTCAGCATTGCATAATTTCCCCGCGGCGCTCGTTTGCGTGCAAACATAATCAGGAAAATATCGTAGCTCCTTTCCAAGCGCTAAGTGATGTGGCCTTCCTGAAAAGACCGGTGCTGTCTGTTTGTCCTCCGACGTCACTCTGAGCCCGCCAGCTGCAGGCAACAGCGGGACCCCAGGGAGCCCCTCATCCCCCGCCAACAGGGAGCAGGTTGGGAGGACCAGGATCTGCTCCCTGCTCCAGCAGCGCCTTCCACTGTGGCTGTGGGCATGGCTCAGCCTTTTGTCTGTGCTCTTAAACCTCCTCCAGGTCTCAGGGAGGTGGGTTTCTATCAAACAGGGGGTTTGGAGGCAAAATGGGGAGAAATGCTGTCAGCTGGTCAGGCATCCCTTTAAAAATAGGGTTCTGTTTATGCTAAAGCGGGTGCTAGTCGGCACTAAACAATAGCCGCCCCGGCTATAATTATCAAGGTTTATTTCTTGTTTGCATTGGTCACGTTTTCTTGCGTTTGATCTTGAGGAACGCAGGATCCGTGGAGTTCAGGTCTGGGGTCAGGCTTTGAAAACAAACCCCGTGGCAGCAATGCATCGAATGCATAGGCTCCTCTCTTTAAAGAAATATACTGTGCTGCCTATGTCAACAAGCACGGCGGGCTGGGGCGGGCGGGCTGCTGCGACCACCGCGTGCCCCTTCCCCGCGGGACGCCGCGCGGGGCCTTTGCGCGGCACACTCTGTGCTCTCGGGTTTGTTTTCTTGCGGGGGGAGTGCAGGAATGCTGAGACCGGAATAAAAAAAATAATATACATGTGAGCACTCGGCCAGGAAAAAAAAAAAAAAATCCAGCTTTGCTGGAGAGGTGTTGAGTGATGCTTGAGGGTGTTTGCCGGGAGACGAGCGGTGACGTTTGCCTCCGGTTGTACAAGGCTCATTCCGGTGCTGAGGGATCCACGGGTCCGTGGCTGTCCCACAGTGAGGGCTGACACTGAGCCAAGGGCCAGATGAGGCAGCCCAGCACCCTCATCCTCCTCAGCTCCAAAAGCCCTTTGGAGCACAGCACAGTCCTGGTGAGCAGTGACTGGGCATGGACTTTCTTACCTCAGTGTCTGCTCTGCCTCTGCTTGGACCTGCCCCGGCCTTGTCCCTGCCCAGGGCTGTGCCCTCAGCCAGGGAGCCACCTGAGGGAGGCACCCCACAGGGTGCTCCAGCTACCTGGGCAGAGCCAGGAGAGTGACATTTCTTGGTGCATCTTGTTCCTCCAAACACATCCTTGGTGCCTAACCGAGGTCTGGAAAGCCCTGGTGGGACAGCCTGCAGAGGCACACAGATTTTGGTTTTTTTAAGAAAAAGGTCTATTTATCTTTTTCTTCTCCCCTCCTCTGCTTTGTGTCAATATCCCAGGTATAGATTAACTCTCTTTGCTTAATATTTAATGGTTTGGGGCCTGGAAATGGAACTGAAAGCATTTGGAGAGATGGCCTGAGGAGCTGGTCTGGTATTGGCTGCAGCTCCTCAGGCCATCTCTGTGTCCATCAGCATCCCCTGATCTGTGTGCAAGAACTTGGGAACAGCTTCCTCCCTTCAGCCCAGCTCCAGACAGGGAGCAGAGGCTGCTGGAGCTCCCTGTGCTTGGGGAAGCTGGAATGGACCACAGTCCCTGAGTGACGAGATCCTGAGGCCAGGGCAGGGCTGATGGCACCCTCATTCCTGAATTCCCACCCGTTTTGCTGGGGAATTTCTTTGTGCTGATTTCACATCCTTAGGACAGGTGAGCACAGGTGGAAAAGACTATTTTTACTCCAGCATTGTAATGAAGGCTTGGTAAGAAAGAACAAGGGGTTTTTTGGAGAAAATAAAGCATTTCATGCTAACAGTCATATGAAAGAGGGGGAGGAGAAGCCCTGCACTCCGCTCTGGGCTGAAGGAGATTCTGTGGGTGAGTGAGCGTGGCTGGAGCTTTAGGAGCTGGGAAGAGAAATCGCAGTGTGAGGGTAAATCACAGAATGCTTTGGGTTGGAAGGGACCTTAAAAATCACCCCTGCCGTGGGCAGGGACACATCCCACCATCCCAGGCTGCTCCAAGCCCCATCCAGGCTGGCCTTGGGCACTGCCAGGGATCCAGGGGCAGCCCCAGCTGCTCTGAGCACCCTGTGCCAGGGCCTGCCCACCCTGCCAGGGAACAATTCCTTCCCAGTATTCCATCTAACCCTGCCCTCTGGCAGTGGGAGGCCCTTCCCTGTGTCCTGTCCCTGTCCAGCTCCCTTGAAGCCCCTTTAGAGAAGGGGGAGAATCTCTTCCCTCAATGTGTTGGCCACGTTGCTTTCATTGCAAGAGGTAATCCTTGAAAATGATCCCAACCAAGTTGGGATGATGAGGTCATTGTCCATTGCTGGCCTTTTGGAGGCTCCCATCTCCTGAAGGTCACACTGTGCTTGTCACCTTCCTACCCAAATCTGCAGGATTTGGAGCTTTTATTAATTACCAGGATGCTGTGCTGGGCCTGTTTCACAGCTTTATTGGCCAAGGGTGCTGTGGAACTCAGCATTCCTGGGGCCTTTCCCACGTCCATCCGGGCTCCCAGCTCTCCTCTAACCCCACGGAGGGATGCACTGACATGAGCAATATTTACGTAGCCCAGATGGGGATGTAAATCCAGCAAAAAGAGATAAAAAAGACGTTTTTATTACCTTGCCCTTCAAGCTGGGGAGTACAAAGGGCAGCCCAGAGCTTTCCCAGATTTACTGGGGGTTTCCCGTGCTGGGATGCCAGCGTGCCAGCACCAGGCTCTGCCCCAGCCTCTGTTTTGGGAGCTGGAGTTTGTGACTGCAGGGAAACGGGGGAGTTTTAGAGGAACTGGGGTTTTGTCTGAGCTGATTGCAAGGTGCCGTGTGAGATAAAGCAGCCTGAAAAGCAAACAAAGCCCAGTCATGTTGTTAAACCTGGTCCTTGGGGCTGTCGGGAGCGATTAAGGTTATTAGGAGGCCGGAGTGCTGTTTCTAAGGGAGGTTCTTGTTTTTCAAGACTGCAGGGGCCCTCTCAGCCAGCACATTTGCCATTTTAGTGGTTTTTAATTTACTTTTAAGTGTCCTCCACCAGCCAGCCAAGAAGATGTAAGGCTGTATTTCCTGGTGGCCATTGTCCTCGAGTGGTGGCAGCTCCTGTGACCTCACTGTGGCCTATAAAGAAATGGGACACAGAGTTGTGCAGCTGGCTTGGAGATTTTTGGTCCTTTTA